CTCGGAAGGATGGAAGGCTGAGTCAACCCTGAGCTGGTGAGATTTGAACAGCCGAACTGCAGAATTGCAGTCAGCTGAAGTAGCCTGCAGTGCTGTATTTAACCACTGTACCACCTCGGCTTATCAAATTTGGGATTTGATAAATTTGGAATCATTGGTAATATAAAGATTTATTTTCAATATTTTGAAAACAGTGATTCAAACTGAAAATTATTTTAAAATTGTATTCATAAATCAAGACTTAAGATTGTTAAATGTAAGTTGTATTTAAAAAAGTAATAAACTTGTATTAAAAGTATACATTATACAAATGATATTGATTCCCTTTTGGTGAGTTTCTATTTACTTATTTTATTAACTTTAGACAGCTTCCCAACTTACACATAGTGACTCTATCATGTGAAATACACAGTCACATATTTACGTGGAACTCAAAATTGCATAGTTAATAATGATACAGAACTACACCAAGTTCCTCACTACTGCAATGTATCTGCCAATGTCTAATACAAAAAGTGTTAGTGGACTTGAGTAGGATTAGTAGGATTAGAGTTTTAGAGAAAATAACTGAAACGTTACACATAACATTTTAGATGTAGGCTTCCCACAGTAGAACTCAATTTTTTGATATAATAATCTTCTCCACTTTATAAGAAGGGCTTACCCATACATGAAGGTATTGTGTTTTTCTATGATTTCAGTTACCCTACTGCAGTGATGGCGTGCCAAAATTGTGTGTGTGTGCCCCAATCACCTATGCATGTGCACACGATTTCCCCGTGCATGCACGCGTGACCCGCCGTGCATGTGCACTCGAACCCCTGTGCATATGCACCCGACCTCCCCCTCACACAATGAGGGGATTTTTGCCCTCCCCAGGATCCGGAGGCTTTCCTGAAGCCTGGGGAGGACGAAAACCAGGCCAACGGGCCAACCAGAAGTTTGAGAACTAACTTCCTCTGGAAGCCCGAAAATCAGCTGGCCGGTGCATGCATGCCATAGGTTCGCCATCGCAGCCCTACTGCATTTTGCATTAACTCTCTAGTCAATTTTTTACATCAACTAAACTGCAGAATTCAAGATGTTATCAATATTAACTCCCTTTGTTCTTGCTGCTTTTATTTGATGTGTGATCTGAAATCTTAATCTGGATGTTGTCAATTGATGTAGCATAAAAATGATTTTTATCCTACAGTACAAATTAGTTATTTATAGAGTGTGTTTGAGAATGTTGACTTCTGGCAACTGCCTGCAGTTTTCTTGGCAAGATTTGGCAATGTTGACTTTTGGCGACAAGTTCCTGCAAGATTTCAAAAATGGTTTGCCATTGCCTGCTTCCTAGGACTGAGTGAGAGTAACTGGCCTAAAATCACCTAGTTGGCTTCATGCTCAAGACAAGACTGGGTCTCATGTTTTTAGCCTCATGCTGCACTGCCACACCAATCTGGCTGTTTTATCATTAAGCAACCTCAACTGAAGAGTTTATAATATTTAGAAGACATTCCCAGAATTTAGCGTGCATAACTTGCTGGCAGGCATATTATATGACATCATTTCCCTGGAATTTTTCCAAGTTAAAGTATTATTTAATTTGTCTCTTCCCTGCACTGTCATTATCAGTGAGAATTTCAAGTGTGCCAGGGCCACACATGTTCTTGGAAGCAGTTATACAATCTCAGTTGTGACTGTTGAAACAGGGGAGTTGGCTAAGATAAATAAATAAATAAATAAATCTCATCCCTACTTTTGCTGAGCTACTTTGAATAGTTTCTGAATAAAAGGTGTAGGGTCAGCTTGAGAGATCTTCTCCTGTTGGACCAGGACCGGAAGGTTCCTGGAAGTCGCATTGGGTGTTTGGGGAAGAGGGGTGGAGCCACGCAGCCCAATGTTGGTACACACTGTAAAATCTCTGCATGCTGCTGCCGTGAATCCTCCTCTCCCCTTGCTCTCTCGCTGATGTCGCCCCATGCTTCTCTCAAAAGCGGAGGTATCAGCCTGCGTCCTCTAGAACCGAGCGTGTTGTTCTGTGAGTGGCTTCTCCTCGCTCTCATACACCCAGCGCTTCTCTCCTGAGCGTGTGGGGGCTTTGTCTGTTTTCACCAGAAATAACCTAACTTACTTTTTTCTGTTCACTTGACATATTACAATTCTGTTTTTTAATATTACATTTAATTTTATTACTAATTGTTTTTCATACCTGTCCTTTGGACTGTCGGTATCTAAGGATTTTTTGCTTCTGTTTAAAGAGAGAAATCGGCCGAAGAAAGAAGCTCCGGACGTTTGCAAGTATTAAGCTTTGTAGATTGAGGTAAAATATTCAATTTTGGGTTTGGGGGAGAGGCTCAAAGAAGATATCAACAGCTGTCTGAGTGGGTTAACTGCGTTTGCTAGTGATATAACTAGCTGTGGACTGATTTTTTAAACATAAGAATGTGTGAGACTTAAGCTGTGAGCATGATAGAGAAGGAGCATTTGGGGGGAGGGAGAATCCATCAGCCTTACTGTGTCACAGCAGGGCATCCAGGATCTCCCTCCCTCTGCTTTTTCAAACCCTCTCCACAAAAGACGGCACTGGGGATGCAGTCTTGTGACTGATTTGCATTGTTGTCTACATTTTCGAAGCAGAATTCCCGGGAAAGAAGAATTCCCAAGGAGGAGAAATAAATAGTTGGAAATGCTCTGGAAAGTCCAAGAGATGCTTCGGGCAGTAGTCAGTTAACATTAGAAAGGGACCGTGACAATCGGTTACTTAGATTGCATCATGTGAAGTTCCGGGCAAAAAGAGGATGGATGGGTGGAGTTCCTTCACTTCCAAATCTGATTACACAATCATGTCATGAGTGACTGAGTGTGTGTGTGAGAGAGAGTGTGTGTGAGTGTGTTGTTAAGCTTCCCTGATCTTAATCTACCTGTGGGGGATGTTTCTCAATCTCTGGATGGATGGAAACGGGAAAGATGTGGCTTTTTGCTTATCTGCTTGGCTGGGCAGAGAAGCCTTCTTTTGCCCTGGCACTCTGGCTACTCACCGTAGATCTTTTGTTCTCCCCAGCCACCCCATATTTCCAGACAACGTGTGCTCCCAGTGTTCTAGCTGAAGATATCTTTGTTCTCCTCCCAGTACTTTTCCTTCCCTCGCCCCTCTTCACTTATCCCGCCCTTCTCTGCTGGTAGTTTTCCACTTGCCTGGCTGAATCAGCTGCGGTGAGCAGCAGCTTCGAAGCAGCATCTCACGTGACCAGCTTCAGAAGATTACTGCAGTATTGACGTTTTCCCCTTACCTTCGCAGACAAGGCAGGATCCACGGCTGCCAAGGACAAAAGATCACGAGGACCCCAGGCTCAAATAATTATTTGNAATAACAATGTATGCAAAGATACAGTATCTTGATTGTCAATATGTGAATTTTGATAAAATTCAAGTGAGGACCACGTAAAGGACACAGAAAGACTTTGTAACCAATCGACACACTGTGTGTAACTAAAGAAGCTTTTATGTTATATGTGTTGTGTGTTTGTGTTTATCTGAAAATAAAAGTTTTATTTTAAAAAAATGCAAGTAGAAAAATAGGAACTACCTTTGGTGGGAAGGTAACAGCGTTCTGAGTGCCTTCAGCGCTTAGTCATGTCAGCTACATGACCACGGAGATGTTTTCGGACAGCGCTGGCTCTTCAGCTTTGAAACGGAGATGAGCACTGCCTCCTAGAGTTGTGAACAACTAGTACATATGTGTGAGGGTGTTATGTCCTCATCTTATGACCAGTCTTAGGTCCTTGACTTATGACCGGCCACAAGTCCTCAACATACGAATGACAGCCTGGCAACCAAGGGCTCGCGCCTATTGGCTAAGATGCGCTGGGCTGGAAGTGGGCTTTTGCTGTTGTGCTATTGGCTGCTCTGCTTGACAGCTCTCGTATAAATAGCTGTCAAGCAGGGCAGGGTGTTGAACTTGTACATAGTTGCTCTTGCTAGTGTTCTGTTCAATAATAGCTGTTCTAGTTCACCTCAGCAGTCTGTCGCCTCATCTGTCAACCCAATCTTTAATACTGGTGACGAAGGTGGGATTCTGAGGGACTACCCACTCGAACAGCTGCAGAAGAAGAGGGAATTTTTTTCCCTTCTCTCCTCACACTTTCTCCTCAGCACCGGTACTTGGCTATGGCTTCACTCCCTCACTTCGCGCCATTCGGTTCTACTACAGAACTGTGGGCAGGTTTCGAGAGGTTTGAATGCTTCCTGATCGCCAACAACTACCATACCTGAGAAGAGAAAGTTTTTTTCTCAGCTCTTGTGGTTCGGATATGTTTACCATCGCTAGAGCTGTAGACTTGCCGCTTGCAGTTCACACCTTAACGTGGGACACCTTGATTTCAAAACTAAAAAACCACTATCATGCATAGCCCGCCACTGTATCTTCTGCCAATGTGTCCAGAAGGACACAGAGACCGTCAGCCAGTTCCTGCAATCACTTAGAACAGTGGCCATCCAATGCAAGTTCACAGACCTGGATGACTCGCTGCTTGAACAATTTGTTTGCGGGGTGCGCGGCATCTGCCTCAAGCTGAGGTTGCTGGCCCGCTTGGACATAACTTTGCAGATGGCTGTGGACAAAGCCAGGGCCGCAGAACTTTCTGACAGGTCCACAGCTGAAATCCGAAGATGCCAACAACTGGTTGCGCCATCTCCAAAACCCTGCCTCATTGACGAGCTGGCCCCTCTAGATGACCTTGAGGAGGACCAGGTTGATCGCCTCAGAGCGCAACCCAGACAGATGGCCGCTCCTGCCTCGATACGCCCTCAGGCTGGTGGCTGCTTGGGTTGCGGCGGCATCCATGCTCGCACCACCTGTCCTTTTAAAATCGATCTGTCGCCGCTGCAATAAAAAGAGCCACCTTGGCCATGTTTGCCGCGCCACCTTGCCACCTGCACCCTCAGCTGACTACCGCCCCACTGCAGGATGCCAACAATGCCAACAACCACCTCCCAGAGACGATTGCTTCGCCGTCTCTAAGAAGCAAGGCCTCCCTGCCAACTCGGTCAGAAAGGCTTCAGCTGATTTGAAGAAGATCACCATCTCGCTTCTCATCGAAGGGGCTCTGTGTACGATGGAAGTGGTCTCTGGCTCCTCCAGGTCCCTTCTATCGTGGAGCATCCTGACCGGCCTATGCCCCGCCATCACCTGGAACCAGCTGACCCCAGCGGACACCATGCTCAAAGATTACCAGGGGATTGAAATTCGAACCCTGGGTTGGCTAACTGTGTGGGTAGACTATGGGAATTTTCATGGCAGGGCTTCCCATTTTAGTTGTAGGGAAGCCACTGCCTGCTCTCTTGGGCCTGGATTGGTTCCCATCCCTGGGGCTGTTGCTTACGGGAGTCCACCAGACGTCCCCCATGTCTGACTCTGTCGAAGACATCATCAATGAATTCGCTGATGGCTTTGACGGAACCCTAGGTAAATATAAGGGTTCCCCCATCGGTTCCACCACAAATCCGCAAAGCCCTTATCCGCGGAGACATAAGCGCAAAGACTAATTCACGCCGTTCAAAGCGCTAAGGAAAAACGTGACCCTACCGCGATGACATAATCGCGGAGGGCAAATCCGCGCATTCCCAAGCACTCAGTACCCTAAACCTAAACCTAACGCTAAACCTAACGCTAAACCTAACCCTAAACCTAACCCTAAACCTAACCCTAAAACAACCCCCTAAACCTAATCCTAACCCTTACCTTAATTGAAATCGGCTTTCTGCCGCGGCGCCGTTTTAAAGCGCCCTTCTGTTGCTGCGCTGTTGCTGCGGCAGTGATGACACGCGGTGATGACGTTGTGGCTTTAGCGCCGCGATTTTATCACCGCGATTTTGACGAGCACGGTTTTGTCGTGCCACGTCCCCCATCTCCCTCAACTTAGATCCCCAGGTTGCCCCTATCAGACTCAAGGCCCACAGGATGCCATTTGCCTTGAGGCCCGAAGTTGATGCGGAGCTCGACAAACTCTTGGTGCAGGGCATCATTGAACCTGTCGACCACTCCACATAGGAGACCCCAATTGTTGACCCCATTAAGGCCGATGAGTCCATCATTATCTGTGCTGACTATAAGTCGACCATCAACAAGGTCCTCCAGGCAAACCATATCCGGTTCCTGTGGTGCAGCACTTGCTCCATTCCTTGGGGCAGGGCTGCATCTTTGCGAAACTGGATATGGCTCAGGCTATCAGCAGCTCCTGGTGGATGATGAGGCCACTGCCGTCCAGACCATCAATATCCACTGAGAGGCTTTCCACTGTCAACGGTTGCAATTTGGCATCTCCGTTGCCCTGGGAATCTTCCAGAGCCTGATGAAGCGATTGCTCCATGGGCTCCCTGGCATTGTTCCCTACTTCAATGACATCCTGATCGCTGCCAGCAGTCGATCAGGACTCATCGAAGTCCTCAGGACAGTTCTCAACCGTTTTAGGGGCGCAGGCTTGAAATTAAAGCGCAGCAAATGTACTTTCGCCATGTCCCCCCCAGGTGGAGTTCCTGGGCTTCCTTGTGGACACCCAGGGAATCCACCCCACCCCTTCTAAGCTTGAAGTCATAAGGAACGCCCCCACTCTACCTCCAAGTTGGAACTGCAGGTGTTTCTAGGCTTTTTAAACTTTTATGAGCCATTTATACTTGCAAGGCATCACTAGCCGAGCCTCTCCATTGATTGCTCAACCGATTGGCGGCCTGGTGCTGGGGTAGCTGCGAGGCACATGCACTCACGGCTGTCAAAGCCATGCTTACATCAGCAGCTGTCCTAGTCCAATACAGTGGCAGGTTGTCACTGATGTTGGCATGTGATGCCTCCCCCTACGGTGTGGGGGCTGTCCTTAGCTCTCCCAGCCATTGAACCAGACCCCTCCCAGGCCTCTTCTGTCCTGTCCATTAAGATGCTGGACCTGCCCCTATCGGCCTCTGATGTGGCATACCACTCTTTAGCAGACCCCTCTCTCTCTCAGGTTTTCACTTGGGTGCAGAGGGGGTGGCCTTTAGGCAAGGTGGCCGAGGAATTCTGCCACTTCAAGACCTGCCAGCTGGAGCTCTCCCTCCAGGGTGGATACTTGTTCTGAGGGAATAGGCTGTTCATTCCCCCTTCCTTACGGACCCAAGTCTTGGACTGCCTCCATTTGGGCCACCCTGGCATACCTTGTATGAAGGCTTTGGCCCACAGCTATGTCTGGTGGCCCAAGATGGACAAGGCCATCGAGGCCTGGGTTGGCTGCTGTTTTCCTTGCCAGGAATCCCGGCCAGCGCCACCAGCTGCGCCTGTTAGGGACTGGGAGTTCCCTGGGGGCTGTGGTCCAGGGTCCACATTGACTTCGAGGGTCCCTTCCATGGCCAGGTGGTGGATGCCTACTCTAAATGGGTAGAGCTCCTACTTATGGCGACCACCACCACCAAGGCCACTATCTGGGGGCTGTGGCACATTTTCAAAGCCATGCTTACATCAGCAGCTGTCCTAGTCCAATACAATGACAGGCTGCCGCTGACGTTGGCATGTGATGCCTCCCCCCTACAGTGTGGGGGCTGTCCTGAGCCATATCCTTGCCAATGGCTCAGAAGCCCCTATAGCTTTTCATTCCCAGACACTCTCCTCCACTGAGAGGAACTACAGCCAGATCAACAAGCTCTGGCTGCGGTGTCTGGGATTAAAAAGTTTCACGAGTATCTCTACGGATCCCTTGATAAATACACGCCAGTTGCAAAGTGCCTAACTTTTGATCACGCGATCTTGGGGATGCTGCAACAATCATCAGTGCGAGGACCAGTTTTAAGTCCGATTTTCCATAAAACTGTAATTTTAAACAATCATGAAACCAATGAATATTTATTGTATCATGTGAAAATAAGATTATAAGAATATTATACCCCTTAAACATTAACATAAACCTTTTTGCATGAAAAAATCCTAATTTTTAACAACTAGAAATACTAATGAGAAGAGTGGCAGTTTTATAAAAAAAATTAAAATATCTGGCAAATCACTTTGATTTCGTAGACTACTAGGAGAGTCTTGGGGAACTCCTTGGGGCACACTTAAAAAACCCACAGAATTCCAGGCAACATGCCAAAAGTCAACGCGTGCCTTGAAAGGTATTCCTGCCATACTATTGTATCCTGCTCAAATCCTTTAAATGTGGTGTAGAGTCTAAGAACTCTGCCAACTGTCTCTGCCCATTCACTCAAGGTAACATGCTGATCCATTTGGTTTTATTTTGCCTAGTAATGAATTCGCTATGTCCAAGTGCTGCAAACTCCTGACTTGTTCAGCCCTGCATGTAATATGGCAAATACCCAGATCCTGCAGATGGTTTGCCTCGTGCCTTGACATCATGCCAGGGGGACAGAGGAGACCCGGAGAGCATTCCAGGCAATGTGCCACCAATCAACGCGTGGCTTGAAATGGACCCCCACGGTGCTTGTGCCAATGCTTGGCTGCTCTTCCATGCAAGCATGCCAGTTGCATTTTCAAGCTTATAGAAACGGTTGATTGCCCAGCGTTATTTTCTAAACTCATTTCATGGGGAAGAGACTGGTTATAATTAGTAATACAGGGCAGGTGAAGAGCTATATTCACTCGTACAAACTGTGAAGGATAAGGCATCTTTTGCAGGGAGGAAACTATCCGTGAACAATGTAATGAAGCCTGCATTTTTATTTCTCCCAAAATAACCCCACCCCATCAGCATTTATGGCTACTCAGAAGCAGCCAAACTACTTATAGTAAAGATCAATTAATTTCTGTTCCCTTCCCTGTAGCGTAGGTTTAAATCCGCGCTTCCAGCCGGGAGGAAAAAGCAAGTTTCTCTTCTTAGCTCGGGGCAAAATCAGATTGGATCCTGCCACGAAATCCTTTTGCCCGGTTTTTTTCAACAAACATGCCATCCTGTTGGATCTGATCCTGAAGAAACACCTGGGGAAATCTCCCCATGCTCAAACGCTACATTCCATTTGGATCTTTCTCAAGGGTTGAGCCCTTCTTCCGGCCAAAACACATTTTGCAAATCCGTTCCGAGGGTGCGGACGACAAAGAGTCCATTCTTCGCGCTAACTCACGCTCGTGCCGTTCCGAAAGCCCGATCTCCAGTTTTGGGTTTCCCCCCCCTTCCCACCTCGTCCCTTCTAGCGGCCCTTGCTTGCCTCGGCCAATCCCACCGCTCGGCGCCTGATCCGATCCAAACGGCGGTTTCCCATTGGTTGACCGGTATCCCTCTCCTCACCGGTCAGCCAACCCGAAGAGAGATGCTCGGGAGAGCGGAATGGGGTGGGCTTGACGGGGAGGTGGCTTGCCGGCGTTCTAAAAGATTACTGCCGGTGGGCGCGATCAGTTGATTTCGAGTGATCTGTTCAACCAAGTGGACCTCGCATCGGGGGTGCAGACCGAGAAGAAAGCGGCAGTCAAAAGACCACTAGGGATAGACTTTTAGGGGTTCTTGAGTGGAAGGCAACGTGATGGTTGGAAGTGGGCGAGGGAAGCATCTTATTCTGACCTTATGAATGCACTTTTGGGGTTCCTTGAGCGCCGCATATAAAGAGGGGTCACTGGCTACGCATTAGTAGCCAGAGAGAGAGAGAGGAGGCGGAGAAGTAGCATAGAAGAAGAATCTGGAGCGCTCCTTAAAAAGGCGCAGTTTTGGATTGCAAGACCTAAAGAAGCGGCTGGAGAAAGGTGGGGCCGAGAGGAGGAAGCAGGTTGTTGCAAATCGTGATTATAATACGTGACGGGGCAACGAGGATCTTGCAGTCCGGGTTAAAGAGAGGCGGGATTGGCGAACTCCCTGAGGAGAGGCTGAGTGAAGGATGGGGCCCCTGCTGTCTCTAGGGATCGGGCTTCTGCTGTTCTTGCTCTGGGCTCGCTATAGGGGCATCGAATACGTGCTGGTCCACCACCGCTGGATCTTCGTCTGCCTCTTCCTGTTGCCCCTTTCTGTCCTTTTCGATATTTACTACCAGCTCCGCGCTTGGGTTGTGCAGAAGCTGCACTGTGCTCCACGGCAGCACGACTTGCGGGTTCGGAACATCCAGAAACAGGTAAGAGGACCAGAGGAACTACTTGAGTTGGGGGAGGAAAAAGTTTTTTTCTCCCTTTAAAATCCAGGGTGCGATTTCTTCAGTGACCTTAAATGAGCCTGAGGGTGTTTCTGTTTGGCTCTCCAGTTAGAAAGAGAAAATGCTGCGAGCGTGACGCGTTCTTCTCGCAGTTTCCTAATTGCATTGTCTGGCTCGCTTGAATTATTCAGCCAAAACGAATCTGGGTGGACGAGAAATTCTCTTCTTTTTACGGGTTCCCTTTATTTTGATTTTAACTGATCAACGTTAAAAAAAACTTGTCGATAAGGAAAGGAATCATTCAGGTGCGCTTGACTTTTTATTTTCTATAATGTGCTTTTTATTTTTCCAATGGCAGCTCAGCATTTTTAGCAATGCGGTGCCTGAGTTGGACGAGTAGGGAAAGATGCTTGAAGCCAATGCTAATTGGCCTCCTTGCTTGTTTGTACTATGTTACCAAAGCCAAATCTATTTTCTTCTTGACACTGGTCAGCTTGGTAAATCGTACAATGCAACCCACTCCAGTTCATAACTTTTGGGGGGGGGGGGATTATAGTGGTTGAAACTGCAGGGAACAGAGGGAATATTCCACTTGGGACTGATATGGAGGAATCTTTGTGAGGGGTAATCTTTGTGATTCTTGCAATAGATGCCCAGAACATGCTATCATTGCGACCCCTCTCACTTGGCTATGCTTTGATGCATTCACCTGCATGGAGTTTCACGTTGCCTATGGCTACCAGGCTAAATGCATCCATGAGAAAACAGGCAGGTAATGATGAAATTGATCTATGCAGGGTTTCCATTGATTAGTCATGCCTGGCGTTATTTGTTATTTTCTATAATGCCTTGATGGAAATAGTAATTCCACATGTCCATTTATAGCAACATTCAGCCCTGCTTTTTCTTTTCGATTATTCTGGGATTGGAAGATTGAATTAGGATTCATTAACAATATGGAATCTCTTCTGACAAAAGCAGCAGAAGGGACCTTCACCAGTGGTTTCTCATGGTGTTTAATGGCTCTTTTTAAAAATTGGGGATGTCAAAGACTGGATCTAGAATTTTCTGTACGTAGAAGGTGGACTCTGCGGTCTGTAGGGACTCTGTGTTACTTTCACCCTACAAAATAAGGATGCTTTTACAAGTTAAAGCCTATTCACAGGCTAATAAAATGATACTTCAATCTATATTGAAAATGCCAGCAGATTTTATTTTAGGGTTTCAATGCCTTACAAATTGTTCACTGAGTTTTATATCATACTAGTTGAATACCTGCACTTCGCAACAAAACTATGTGATCAGGCTATGCAGGAGGAATTTGGACCACAATCCATTGGCTCAGTGGTGGTTGATGATTGAAACACATAAGGAAATATCACTCCCACCGCCTTGAGTCCGGAAGCAGTTCCATAGGTGGAAGGAGTAGACATTTTGATGAGGTACCGACCTTTAGTACTCTGTAAGGAGCCCCAGACCACCCCTGAGTGAAGGAGTGGAACGTCTGCCAGTTTGAACTGAGGTAGCAGAATGTGAGACTTCTTTTCAGGTGGGGAAGGGAAGTAGAATGTCTAACTCCTTAGCATCAGAGCGTGTTAATATAAGGCAACTGGCAGTTCTTTCAAGGTAGGGAGTGGGAGTAGAACTCCTTAGCATCAAAGCATGTTAATTACTGTATAAGAAATTCTAATGATCTGATGGTCATTTCAAAAAATCCTTTTTAGTGAGCACCTAGAAGCCAAGAGGAACGTAAGTACCAAATTTCAAGTTTGTAGATTTTATGGTTCTGGAGATTTCATGATGTAAGGTAAGGTATTTGCCTTTTATGCATATATAGATATGCAGGCAATATAATTATATGCAATACCTTTATCACGAACAAGTGTTAAGCCAAATACAAAAGTATGCTCTATCATTTCATTAGGCTTAAAAATGCATTTTGCAGGCTTGCATGCAAGAGCAAATGATTACTTCAGAGTGGGCTTTCATGTCATGTGCTGACATCACATGCCTCTAACATGAAACAGACTATCTGCATGTTCTTGATATTTACCATATTACATGCAGTGCTTTTGCTGTGGTTGGCAAAGCAAAACCAGATCAATGATTTTATCTAGAAATGAATGAGCAGAGAAAACTAGCAGATTCTTCATATTAATATGACATTAAGTTTAAAGGTTCAAGCATTATTACAAATGCAACAAATGGATAGTGTGTTAAAAGTTTGTACATTGGAAAAGATGGGCTTATATATTGAAGTCAATGAAAAGCAACTATATAATTGGCTGAGGAAGAATTTATAGGCTTTTCATTATCTGCTTTTTGCTGACAACTTATATAGACAGTCAAGTCGATCTTATACAGCATACCACTGCTGGAGTTCTCAAAACTAGGATAGAAACAATTTCAAACAACTTGGATCCCCACTAGGATGTCACAAACTACAACTTCCAGGTGCAGTCTAACTGGGTACCTGGGAATTCTGTGAATCATTGAATAAAGTTAATTTAACAAATGTTTATGAAGGTGTGTCCAATTGCTGCAACATTTTGAGATGCGAAGTACTTTTGTACATCTCTCTTGGAAATGTGCTATTAGTTGGCTAGGCTACTTAAGACCCATCCCAAAAATTGTGATTTAGCACAGATTGTCAGATTGTTTTAAGTAGAAGGCTGAAATGTAGCAATGTCGTCCAAATGAGCTTTTAAACATAATCAGCTTGGCAGCAGAGAGCAGATAAGTTACAGAGAGGGAGAATGGCAGGGTATGGACGGAGTAATGGATTTTGAGTCAGATTGAAGCAGGGATGTAAGTAAGAGGGAAAGCTGTTCCACTGCAGAAGGTAAACCTTATTGAAAGTAGTTGGGTTTACTCTGCTTCTTCTTTAGAAATCTAATGAAGACTCAGAGTGGAAGATCTGTGGATTGCTGAAGTGGTTTTGTAAAACTATGTAGAATAGAATGCACCAGTTGCCTTCCTGTATCTCCACTGCCACACCAAGTAGGTTTATATCATTCCTTTTCTAGCTTTGTAACTTTGCAGGATATTTAATTAGCACAGACATCTCCCTGCTCCCCCAGCTGTGTGCTCTCTCCATTACTTTTTTCTCTCTATACCAATGACTGCATCTTGAAGGATCCCTCTGTTAATGTACTGCAGTTTGCAGATGATGTAACAGTCATTGGCCTGATTCAAGATGGTGATGAGTTTGCATACAGATGGGAGGTTGAACAACTGGACCTGTGGTGCAACTGGAGCAATCTGGAGCTGAACACAGTTAAAATTGTAGAGATGATAGTGGATTTTAGGAGTAACCCTCCTCCTACCTCATATAATATTAGACAGCACAGTATCAGCAGTAGAGACATTCAAGTTTCTGGGTTCTATATTCCTGGAGGACTTAGGTAACTCCCCGGGGAGTTACCTAACATTGGAACCATAATTAAAAAGGCACAATAAAGAATGTTCTTCCTACAATCAACTCAGAAAGTTTAGACTGCACAAGGAGCTGCTGATACAGTTCAACAGAGGAATTCTGGAGTCTGTCATTTTTATCTCTATAACTCTTTGGTTTGATACAGCAACCAAACAGGACAGGCACAGACTTCAACAGATAGTTAGGACTGCAGAAAAAAACAATTGCAACCAGCCTGTCTTCCATTGAGGACCTGTATACTGCACAAGTCAGAAGGAGGGCTGGGAAAATGCCTACATCCCTTTTACATTATAGGCATAAACTGTTCCAACTCCTCTCCGCAGACCATCGCTACAGGGCATTGCATGCCAAAAGAAGTAAAAACAGAGACAGTTTTCTCCCATGCCATCATTGCTAAACACCTAATTCCCACAGCACTCTCTCATCTCTAAGGATAATTACCCATGTAATATGGCGGTATTATTATTAGTATTATTATTATCTTTCTCATCTTTCCTACCACCTTCTCCTATTGATATCTTCTTATTATATTATTTCATTGTTTGTATGAACACTGAGAGCTTATGCACTGGAGATAAATTCCTTCACACTTGACCAATGAAGAATGTTATTCTATTTCTGAGGAGAACATGCTATTAATCTGATGCTATACAAATGGGAGGTTAAGGCTGCAAATTAGGTTGACTGAACTTAGTCAACCTAATTTAAGGCATCAATTGTGTTCCAGGCTTAATTGTTAGGACACACTTAGCAGCAGCTGGCAAGTATTTTGCTGCTTGTTAAAATTGGTGAAAGGGGTACATTATACCACTATCTCATTTTACTTTTATTTCTCCCCTATAATAATAGGCTATCATTTCACATCTGTGGGTATATGGTGTAACTTCTTGTTCTCCATAAATTCCTTAAGAAAGAAGATCCTATAGTACAACAGTCCCCAAACTTTATAGCTTTGCAGACTGGTGGCAGCACGGGTGAAGAGGGAATGGTTCTGCTCGCACAAATTGAGCTTCACGTGTGAGTGAGTGTGCCTGCCTCTTGCACAAGTGGAGCTGTGCGCACTTGTCTGCCATTTTCACGGCCCAGGGGTTGGGGACCCCTGTTGTAGTAGCCTCTTCCAACAATGTGTCTTTCCTGTTTGCCAAAAGCATTTTTTCACTAATTGTCATAAGACTTCAAAATACTTCTTTAGTTTCCTGAGGCCTGGTGATACAATCCAGTGTTGAAGGACTTCCAGTAAAATAGGCAACCTAACGTGTGTGTGTGTTTGTGTGAGAGAGAGAGAGAAAGAGGGGGGGGGGATGTTCCATATCTCAGGTGCCACAACAAAGAACCTCCTGGGACCCACTAAATGTAACTTGTTGGCAGATGGTATCTCAACATGCCTTCTCTGCCAGATCTAATGGGGCAGGTTAATGTAATCAGGGAAGGGCCATCCCTTAGGTATGCTAGTCCAATGATATGAAGGGCCTTAAAGATCAAAAACAGCACTTTGAATTGGACTTGGAAGAATGCCACTGCTAAAGCAGAGATGTAATGTATGCTC